CACACACACACACACACACACACACACACACACACACACACACACACTCGGTGACCGAATCAAACAGCAGTTGAAGAATCACATTGTTGTAGTCTGAGGCAAAACTGGTGCTCATTAATGTTTCTTAGTTTGTTTTGCAGATTATCCCAAACCAATGTTATGCTTAATGTACATAATGAGACTTTAATCTCCTCTCCTGATCTCCGCCAGAGTGGCTCCAAACACTCTCTGTGTTGTTATATCTGAAACCAGTTTAAAATATCTAGTGTGGCCAAGGGAACAGATATCACAACCCCTGGAAACACGTGTGTATCCAATACCTCTAACCACAGTGTCAAAACAAAACTGGGTGGGAAGTACAGTAATAAGTGTACTGCAAGCTTTAATTTCAGTTTAGGACAAAAAATAATGAGTTAGAAAGTGACCTGAAGAGTATTCATTGAATAGAAAAATCCATTGTTGTTCATTCATTCATTCATTCATTCATTCATCATCGATTCTGGTGTTGTATTAATATTACTTATTTTTGTCTACTTGACATGTCGTCTTCTACTTCAGTTAACGATTAGACAAATCACATGATTGACAGAAAATTTAACAGCAACTATTTTGATAATTGAATTTTAAACCATAAATCTTCTCCAGTATGAAAATGCACTGCTTCATATCACTTTAAGCTGTATGTATAGTGTTGTAGTGTTGGTCAGACAAAACAAAGCTATTAAAGAGTCAGCTTGGGCTATGAGAAACACATCACTGCCATTACTAGTCTGGTAAATAATAAACACATGCACGACACAAAGAGAGCCTTTCCCTCTCCATCCCAACCGGCGAGCCACACCCAGACTATGACCTCATGCTGGAGCCTTCAGCCCGTCTGGTCTGAGCGTCCCTGGAGGACTAGCTAGCAGCTCAGGCAGATAAGCAACCTCATTAGCACAATAGATTCCATAGTGTCCCATCCGCCACTACACTTCGGCAGTCCACTATGTGGATTACCGACAGGCAGTGTCAGGGCCTTCACTTCGTCGACAGGAATTGAACTTCAATGTGAAATCAATTGCTCCAATGACAGACACTAAACGAATGGGAATGTGCAGAACAAGTAACCCTTTGCTCGAATTGGTCACTGGGAACCTGCTGGAGATTAATTTTTCAATAGCATGTTCTGAAGTCTCCTTGCATTGCATTAATATTTCATGCACACGCTTTCAGTCCAACCTGTGCATTTCAGCTAAGAACAAAATCATGTAAAGACTTCTACAAAGCCTCGAATCATCATAAAATATTCGTCTTATACTCCCAACTGATTGCTATCCTACAGTGCGTTACATAGATACTCAACTAGTTACACTTTTTGATTTCCTACTGGGACAACACACATAGCTGTACCATTTGTGTGAAACATCATTTGTGAGACCTTTATCACAACTGATTCAAACTTATAACTCTGTAAAATGACATCTCTCATCTCAACTAATAAACCCTTTCGCCAGGCAGCAAACTAAAGTGTTTGAGTCAGCGGTGGAGCATCAATCAGAACAAAAGACTTCAGCCACTGAGAGGATTCTATTTCTTGCAGTATCATCATTTTCCAATCCAATTAATGTATCAAATAGAAGACAAGGCCATAAGAAAAGAGAGAAAATTGTTTTCTACAGTAATTCTGTTTTTGACCAGGCAATAATTCACAAATTGGGATGGCATTTGTGTGGTGGTGATCTTTGACAAATGTCTGGTGGTGCTTAGCCAGACAAATGCACACATTCAGACCAGCAGAGAGATTAAGTTAGAAAGCAGCAGAGAGACAAATATAAACCACACAGAGGTGCATCTTTAAACATTACTCACCTTTGTTCCCCATCATGACGGCGAGATGCAATGGTGTGTTTCCTGAAGAGGAGACAAAAAAAAACAGATTCTGTTGGCTGCTTTTGATAATCGCAATAAGAAACAACAGTCTGTGATAAGCACTGCGCCTATATGCCTGGTGAGAGTCCAAATGATATGGTAAGTATATGACTATTGAGTGTTCTCCTACCATGACAAGGAATATTATATAATGTATTAACCTACCGCGCCCCCGAAAATAAGCTGGATATTAATTCCGAGTAATGCTACAATACAGGAGTTTGAGTTTGTCACACCACAGAAAAACGTGCTGTTAACCACCCTGCCAAATTAGAATGAATAATTTAAAAAAAATAAATCAGCAAGTGTATAAAAATATAGGCTAAAGGCTCTAAAACTATGCCCAATCATGGAGGAGGGTTGATTACATGTACAGTCACAGTGTACGACATGTTGGCCATCTCACTGCTGCAGAGTGTTAAAGCACATGCTCTATGGGCTGAGACTTAAGCCGGCCAGAACCCCTGATGCCATGTGCTCTAGTTTTTATATAGTGTTAGGGGAGGGTTTATGCCAAGGATGGCTCCTGGGCTTCATTGAGCCATTTTTTTCACAAGTCAGGTGTGGAGAAGCACAGGTCTTCTTTACCTAGGATGTGAAATGTGCCTCATAAGCATAAGAGGACCACTCAAGGGGAAGCCAAACTGTCCGGTCAGCTCCTTCGGGCTTATTTTCCATGGAGAGAACGTGGTGGGCAAGCATCCAGAGTAAAGAGGGTCGGCCTAGTAGAAGCCCTGATGTACGTGAAAATCAAAGCTGGGAATCAGCTAGCAGTCCCACTCCATGTTGTGATAAACAGAGACGCCAGGATTTCAATGGAGGTGAACGGAATTGTATCTGTATTAGCAATGTGGCTTTCCAAAATCATTATACCGGTTGCTCTAGTTATTCCAGATCTTGGTGTCAACCGATTTCATTACCAGTATTTCATCTGCAAAAAGTATGAAAAAAACGTAGTGCCGAATGTTTAGTGTAATGTTGAAGGTTAATCTATTACACAAGGCATCAATTTTGAATGTAAAATTATTGTTTTAGCTCATTCATTGAGCAAAACTGCCAAAAATGAATGGTTCCAGCTTCTCAGATGTGACAATGTTCTGCTTTTCATTGTTTATATCACTGAAATTTGAATATCTATAATTTAGTTGGACGGACAAGTCATTTAAAAACACAATTTTCATTATTATATTATTTTAAATTTTGCAGACAGATTAATCAAAAATGTGTCTGATTAACTGTGTGTGTATGTTGGGATAGTACAACGGTTAATAAAGCTCTATTTCTTCATTCGTGTAAACATACCGACTGATTTTAATGACATTATGTGACAGTCGGGCTTCATCCTGTTTCCAGTGGAGGATCAACTAATGTGTGCGTAAACACACAAACCCACTGAACCATACCAAAGAAGACGGCAAAACCTTTGAACAATATAGGCTCAAGTTCCAAAACAACAGAGGCAAATGCCCCGTCTGACAACCTTGTTGCTTTACAACATCAGAGCTGGGATTTGAAGACAGACCACATTCCAGCACCGACACTGAGCACAACTAATAGGCCATCTTTTGTCTCAGCACGTGAACCGGAACAACACAATCATGTCCTTTTAAGTTAGTGCAGGAAGGGGTTTCTGTGGAAATTGTGGTGTTATCCCAGCAGACTTTGCACCGCAGAAGAGGAGCCATCAGTCTGGGAAAGGTCTTGCGAATGATCCCTAAATACATACACAATGGCTGTGGAGCAACTTCTAATGAGTGTTTATCAAAGATGGCTTATCTTAGAGGGGTTTTGTGACTAGCTCTGGTTAATTAGGAATTGCAGTGCTCTAGGTGAGAGGAGGCATTGAAGTAAAACACTCCTTCTTACATGCTTGACTTGAGGGCACTGGATCTGAAGAAACTAGGGTGGTCAAACATATTCCTCATGTTGGCCTTGGTAGGGAGAAGCCTCGCCTACTCTCTGCTAGGGACTGGTGGCCTATTAGCTCACTAAAACAGAGCCTTTGCTGGACCTTAAACATTGGTGGATCGTGATGGGTGCTGGGGTCCTGCCTTCGGGGTTAAGAGATATGGTAGACTCACCGTGGACATCTTTCTGGGCGATGTTCTGCGTCCGTATGAGTGAGGACAGGCGTCGGACATCTCCTTTGAACACGCACTCGTGCACCGGGAAGTCCTGCCCGGTTCGGATAATGGGGTTTTTGTTGTTGTCATCGATAACATCCGACGTTGACAAAGTGTTGGCGTTAGCGTTAATCTGTGACTGTTGCTGCTGCTGCTGAGCGGATGAAGACTTGACTAACTTGTGATTGCTGAAGATTTTACTCGCTCTGCTCCTGCTGTTCGTCTTGGAGGCGGTGAACGTCCCGGTTGCAGCCTCCTCGTCCGGCTCCAGTAAATCCTCGTCCTTGCTCGGCCTGTGGTCCTTGCGCAGGGAGCGGATCTTCTCTCCGGTCATTTTCTAAACAGTTATGGCAGCAGAGGGTGTCGTCGCTGACGATGACCCTCCCCGGGCGAACTGATGCGATTCGCCAGGTGGAAGTCCTCGCGTAAACTCACCGTAAACTGCACAACATGAAAACACACTTAATCCTCAACCGGACAGGCAAACCCGACCGCGTGTTCAGAGACGAACGAGTAGCGACTTCCTATAACTGGGTTACTATGAAAACAAACACTTCACTGGCCTCCTAGTTCTTTCAAACTGCTGTTGTTTGCTGCCCAACATAAGCGGCTCCTATTAACTAGTACGGAGGATTCAGCTGCTGTCTTCCGCCTCGTAGTATCGCGAGAGTTCAGTAAAGGTTACTAACGGCCTCTAGCCAATAGATATTCCTTTCATACATTTGTTTCTGTAAAGCAACAACGTACTGTAATACATTTGAGGTCGGATACTTCGATATTTTACAGCTATAGCAAGTACAGTTGGTTTTCTGGTCATGATTTTAAATATTTCCTCCCAAATAGGCTATGTTTGTTGTTTATTATGTCATCTCGGTAAAGGAACTTGCACCAATATTAGAATACAAATAAAAACAAAATATTTCCCTATATTTCCTGAAGGAAATTGTAAAGAATGTAGGGAAATATTTGTGTATTCTAATATTAGCGCAAGTTGTGTGTGTGTAAAGTATTTCTATACTCAAACTGTTGTATTGGTACTGTATGTTTCTTTACTTCAGATAAACCCCACATTTCCAACTTTCACAATCTTCATGTGGTTCCCAGAGCTAAACAAAGTCGTTCCTCTTGCCCATAGCAATATAAGTTAGTCTGTCCAGACCCATACAATCCAAAAAGCTCCTTTATATTCTCAATGATGGAGCATCCTTACAACATAGTGAAATGCTAGCTCTCCTGGCTTGAGGAAGATAGAGTCCATAAGTTTAGTCTGTTTCAATCTTTAAATATGTATTCCAAGCACACAGAGTTTGACACTTTAGTATTAAACATCTCTGACAAAAATTGCATAACAACCTTCAAGAAGCTTTGAATCTTTGGACAGTCCCATAGAAAGTGAAAAAGAGTACCTTTCTCATTACGACATTTAGTACAAATATTTTGAATGCCGGACATTTACATGTAATAATGTATCTTTACATTAAAAAAGGATCTGGATATTTCTTCCCCCACTGCCTGTTTATACACAGCCTATGGGTTGGCAATGGTGGAAGAAGTATTACGACAGTAAAAGTACATAAACATTATCAATAAAACATACTTAAAACATTAAGTACTCTAAGTACCTTTGTTAATGTGTATTATACATCACATTATTGAATTGTCAATACAACTTATACGTCAATGCATTAGTGGCATTTCAGTGCTGTCGGTAGGAGTGCACCTTACTTTAATTCAACTCAATTCAATTTATTTAGTATAGCCCAAAATCACAAATCACAAATTTGCCTCAGAGGGCTTTACTGTCTTTACACATACGACATCCTCTGTCCCGGGACCCTCACATCGGTACAGGAAAAACTCCCCCAAAGTTTAACTATTTTATATCCTGGAGTTAGAGTTTGTATTCTAATCATTCACTTACATCACAGTTCCAATATCACACTTTAAATATACTCCATTCGTAAAATTGTTGGATGTATTACTAAATTAAAACTTAAATAAAAGTACAAGTTAACTACAACTATTATCACCAAAATGTACTTGAAGTATAAAAATGTGACGTCCAGTTATAAGATAAATGTGGAGCAAAAAAAATTTCCCTCTGGTAGATTTGTAAAGTAGCATAAAGAGAAAATAATCAAGCAAAGTAGGCTGCTTCAAAACTGCACCTATGTACAGTACTTGAAAAATGTACTTAATTACAGAAGTTCTACTATACTTCAACTATAACAATCTTAAAGTTTTGTGTATTTTAACTCTATTAGCAGAAGCCTACTGATGTGAATTCAGGCAGACATTCACCTTTAAGCGCATAACAATTACACACAATTAACTGTACCAATGCCTGAGGAAAAGAAGACTTAGAGCTGAATTTACATTTCAATTATAAACTGTTTTAAAGATCACACCGGCAGCAGCCCCAGGCAAACAGATGGACAATTATTTCCATTCCTGTGGCTGACTTCAGGCTAAAGTCAGAAAGGACAAATAAAGATTATTTCATCAGTAAACTCTTACAGTTGATCATTTTGTTCTCCCTAAAAAATAATGTTCATCTAATAAGCCTGCAGCAATGCTTGACTTAAACTTGGTTTGCAATGAGAAGAGAGCTCACCTGTTGTTCATTTGTTGAGTGCTGTCTGACTTACCAGATGGCATCATGCATGGGTGTAACTACAGCTACACAGTATATTTGAATGCTTAATCCAGCACCTTACCTACAGTACACAATATCATGTCTCATGTCTGTAGTGTATTATTGTGGAACTATCATTGTAGAATGTTTATTCAATTTATACTAAAGTTGAAGTAGGTCCTTGTTTATTTCAGTCTCAATATAGACTTTATTTTGGTTGCTTTTCTTTACTATCTTTGACTTTATATTTATTTTCTTACCTGCCTCACTGAGGCTTGATTAATGACTTGTGACTTGGTTCTCTATAGAGATACCACTGAGTCAACAGAGCCCTTCCTCCCTCTATGGCTCAAGAATAGAAGTACAGCCAAACGTCTCTGTTGTGTTCACCACAAGGAACACAAATGCGCAAAGTTCAGCGTGTAATTTTATAACTGTTATGGTGGTGGTTGCGAAATATCCGTATTGTTGTATTTAGTGATTACAGAGAAGTTTAGTTTTTGTTCATTATTTTTAGCTTTACTTTATAAAATTATATCTTCATTAAATATAATGAGACAGTTTTTACGGCATTTCTAATAGTCGGATTTTTAAACTCGGTTCATGAAGTAAAATTGTTATAAAACGACAGCTGAAAGGTAAACGAGTGTAACCCTGCCTGACTCAAAACCCGGGACATATTGCATCACCTCGAACACAGCCCGAGCACGCGCACACAGAATCACACAACGTGAAGCGGCACGTGGACCGGACGCCCCTTCTGGCCACCAATCAGTGCCTTCAAGCGATTGCTAATGGAAGCTGATTGACTCACAGCGACGGGTGCGGCGCAGGGCCAGTTAAATTGCTTTCTCCCGTTGTATTACCTACTCATCTCTCGCGGTGTACACAGCTGCGGCAGCGCGTTGCCATGGATCAAAATCACAAACAAGACGAGCGGAGCGATTTGTACGCCGGCTTCAGTTCAGCGTATAAATCGTTCGCCACAGAAGCAATTCACATCGGTCAGGAACCGGAGCAATGGAAATCAATGGCTGTAGTGCCGCCGATCTCTCTGTCTACCACGTTCAAGCAGATTGGACCAGGACAACATGCTGTAAGTAGCCGGATATGTCTTGGTTACTCAAGGCGGTGGAGGGTCATCCGGTGACATATATAGGCAACACGTGTGTGAAGCAGACCCTATTTAGCGTTATACAAGAGGATTTAATAGGGCTATTATTAAGGGGCTATTATTTTTTAAATTATTTGAGTTGTAGAAATACGTTGTCAGTAAAGCTAAAGTCTCAATGATACATTTGATCAGAGTATATGTTTAAAACGCATAAGGAGGTAGCCTAAAGAAATAATCTTTGGAATAGTAAACTAATTAAAAAGCTAATATTTCCATGGCCATTGTATATAAATACAGCGAGATTGGGCGTCCTTATTATTAATTTCTTGTATAAAAATATTAAATAAAATGTTTAGCAGACTCATGCATTTTTTTTTAATGGGATTTGACTGGTGACTGGTGCTAATGTCCAACCCTGGTCATACACCTGTTCTACCTGATAAATGACAAATATATCACCACAGCTGTGAATGTTCTTCTGCTTCCTCAGTCAAAAGTGAATCTATGTGAAAAGAGACATCTTCACTTCATTTTTCTCTCTTGTTGTAAAAATGACTGGGAACTGAGACTAAAATTAGTCTGTGTGGGAATAAAGTGCTGTTTCTCCCATCACTATCATTCTCCCTGTAGTTTAGATATGAGGCATTTAAACTGCAATCAAGGTTAACTTTTACAACTGCCATTTGTTTCTGTCAATGATTAGAGTGTAGGTTAGTCATCTGGACATAACTGCTATTACAATCCCACACAGAGAGCACATATCACATAAAAAAAGAGTGCATTTTTTTTGCACAATCAATTTAGGAGGGGAATGAGCGTCCTTTTATGTTTTTGAGTTATTAGACTAATCTCGAGGTCAAACTGGATCCTTGATGTGTTTTGGGAAAGTGTAACGCCTCCTTCATTTGTGCTCGATGACGACCGTCCTTCAGAAGTGCGAAATATTTTCATAGAATCCAAAAACTGCATTTTGATTAAACTGACAGATCTCTATGTATGTGCATGCTTTACAGGTTTGGTTGGTCTGTTGTTAAACCCTGTAAAGCCTTGTTTTGCCACCAGGGCAAAAACCTAAAATGTATTCATACACACTTCTCAGCCAAAAGACTGCTTCCTCTTTCTGTTTAAACACGGTATATTATTACAGATGTTGATTAAGGTGGCTGAAATGTCTTCTAATCATGTTTTTGATATAGGGGTATGAATACAGCCGGAGTGGAAACCCTACAAGAAACTGTCTTGAGAAGGCTGTGGCTGCTTTGGATGGGGCAAAGTATTGTAAGTATAACTGATGCTCATATAATCGTGACAGGCATATTTCACATGAAGAGGAAAGATTTAACAAAATGGATCATGATTTAAACATGAAACAAAATGGAGGACATGTATGCAAACTGCAACGTCTGTTCCCTCTGACATAACGGGTTTGGGGACTTGTTGATCTGAGCTTTTCCCCTGCAGGCATTGCTGTTGCCTCGGGGCTGGCAGCCACAGTTACCATCACTCACATGCTCAAAACGGGTGATGGAATCGTCTGCATGGACGACGTGTACGGAGGTGAGACACCCGTTTATAACTGACAATTGTGTCGAAAAAATATGATGCAACACAAATGACATATGCCATCAGAAACCCACAATTTCCCCACTACGAAATGCTGCTGTGGAAGTATATAGTGCGAGTTGGTTTTGAACCACGTTTTTTTTGGGGGAAATGTTAACTTAGTTTGTTTCTCAATTGAAAAAAGGCACAAACCGCTACTTCCAAACAATTGCGGCTGAACTTGGCCTGAAGGTGTCTTTTGCTGACTGTACAAAACCAGAGCTGCTGAAGGCCGCTCTTAAGGCCAACACTAAAGTAAGTCAAGGACTGATACAAGAATGAAGTGCTCTTTTTATCGTTTTTCTATTGCTATTGTGTTTGTAGTTTGTTCTGATTTTGCTAGTGTGTCATAATCGGGTGTATCCTTTTTCTTTTGTGCAAAGTTGAAGCAGTCATTGTGAATCAGCATTTTTGTGTGATGACTGTTATGGCTCAGTAGATGAGCTGTCTCTTAGCTTTTGCCGGAAGTGACGTGTGTGTTGCCACATGTTTGCCACTCACCTTTAATGCGCGCTGTTTCTTTGTGTAGCTGGTGTGGATTGAGACACCCACCAACCCCACCATGAAGGTTGTAGACATCAAGGCCTGTTCTGAGGTGGCCCATGAATACAACAAAGACATAGTGGTGGTTGTGGACAATACCTTCATGTCTGCCTACTTCCAGGTGAGAGTGACAGATTTGCACTTTATACTCTTATGAGTTTAAAAACAGTCAAATTCCAGTTAAGTAATTGATTAACTTGTGTTTGTCTTGTGCACTCTTAGCGCCCCTTGGCTTTGGGAGCTGATATCTGCATGTATTCAGCTACCAAATACATGAACGGTAGGTTGTGTACATTTTCCCATTTTACTAAAATCTCAATCTAATTAATCCAATCATAACAACAATAGTTTTGTTATATCTTGAAATATGACCTTACTCTTAATACACAAATCAATGATTTTCTGCTCCAAGTTAATTGACGTTTGGACTGTATTACTAATCAACCTTTGTTATATTCCTGTCTTTTAATTTGTCAGGTCACAGTGACGTGGTAATGGGTCTGGCCTCAGTGAACCGTGATGATCTGTATGAGCGACTGAAGTATCTGCAAAATGGTGAGTGGAAATAACAACATGTTAGACTTGCATTCTGCATTGACAAAACGTGTCTGTTAGGTCAGTGTTTTTCAATGTTTTCTGAGCCGTGGTACATTTCTTTTACATTAAAAAGAAGAAAAAAAAAATAAAAAATAATAATGTTTTCCCCCAAATGTGATCTTGTTTTGGTTCAGCTCTGGGCTGTGTACCGTCTCCCTTTGACTGCTTCCTGTGTAACCGAGGACTGAAGACGCTACACCTGCGGATGGAGTGTCATTTCAAGAACGGCATGGCTGCCGCAAAGTTCCTGGAGGCAGATCCCAGAGTGGAGCGTGTCATTTTCCCAGGTAATCTCTCGCCTACAAGTTTGACACCAGCATATCGTTGGAGCACACCTTATTTATCACTCTACCAAATCGTACACACCCAATGTTACTTCTTAATTAATGGTGTGTGTGTAGGAATGCAGAAAGTGCTCTCACGACAGACCAAGTCCAACAAACCAGGGCTCATTATCAAAAGCTTAATTTTCTCATAAGCAGCAAAAAAATGTAGTCTTTCTAACTTTTATGTAGGCATAATGGATTCATCAGCACGCCTACCTATAATTTTGTTATACGATTGTCATAAAAGCTAAATAAACACACACAAACCCTTCATCTCATGTAAGGGTTGCTAATCATTCACAACAGCTGGCTGTCAGATGTCATTAACCCATCTCCTTATACACATTAAACCTTGCATTGTGCGGTTTTGTTTTTTTTAATCGTTGCCTCTGATGACACATGTAACTACATCTACATTGTTTGAATAACAATGAAGAAGAGTAGAATAAACTAGCCATAGCATGTTGGAGTAGTAACGATAAGCAATGCAAATTAACAAAGTGTCTTTAACGTCCACTTGTCCAGAAATGTCATGTAATCACCACTTGACTTTTTTTTTTTTTTAAATGTTTTTTCCCTCTTTGGACATAGGCCTGCCCTCTCATCCCCAGCATGAAGTGATGAAGAGACAATGCACCGGATGTCCGGGGATGATCACCTTCTACATTAAGGGGGAACTCGAGCACGCCAGCGCCTTCCTCAGTAACCTCAAAGTAATTAATCTGTACATTATTATTTGATCTGGAAAGCTCGGTTTTGGAAGTGGGCAACGTTGTGAGGCCTGACGGGCTTTTGCAAAATGACTGGATCAGATTCCCAGACTGAGAGGACAGGGAAACTAAAGTCCTACTGGCAGGTATTTCCTGCAGCTACTGCGGTGAACCGATAATTTCAATGTTTTACTCAAGAAATTATGCATTTTGCAAATTCGAGAATGGACACAAAACTGAACTACATTCAAAGAATGTTTTTTTTACTCACTGTTTGAAAATTATCTGACCCACAAAATATCAGCAACAAATATTACCATGGCTTGGCTAGTTTCTGTGATTGGTTACTTGTCTTTTGTGTGAATTCATTTTTCTGCTCCTTCTATTTAGGTTTACACCTTATTTATATCCTGCACTATGTTTCACTTCATGTCCTCTGTCTTTTTTTATTTCAGTTATTTGCGATAGCTGAGAGTCTCGGTGGTTATGAAAGTTTAGCAGAACATCCGTAAGTATCCATGCAGAATTTTACTCTTTACTATTTTGCTACAATCCAGCACATAAGAACACCATGTGTGAAACACTAGCACCTAAAGGTAAATCAGCAGCAACTTCAAACGACCCACAAGATTAAGTGCTTCAAGTACATTAAAAACATCTGCACTGTTGCGCAATTTGGCCTGCAGTGCTGTTGGTAGTGTTGTAGGAGGTTGACCGCTTCAGGGTACAGAATGTGCTGTTCTGAAACCTGGTGTTAATGCTTCTCAGTCTTTTCAAACTTCAAGGCCCCTCTTTTGCAGTCTAGTCTAGCTTTCCTGTAGCGGTGGGATATCACAGCCAATAATTCTGGTTGTAGTACGCAGCACTTTGCTCAGCTGTCTTCTGTTCTCAGCTGACATGTTGAAAATTGCACCAAACCATCAACGGATATGCCACGTTTTTTTTAATAGTTTTTAAAAAGCAATGTCTCTGGTGTGCTTTCTTATAATAATAATAATAATAATAATAATAATAACAGTAGTGGTGTTGTCCCCATTTCAAAGTGAAGTAGATTATCACTTCCAGGAATTTGTAGCTGTCCACTAAATTCTGTTGTTGTTGATCAAGTTTAGGTGATCCCCATAGCTTCTGTGACAGTGCACTACTAATTCCTTGGCTTTGGAAACCTTTAACTCCATGTTTGCGTTTCACCAATCCACCAGTGATAAAACCTCACTCCTGTAAACTGTGTCATCATTGTTTGAGATTTTAAAAAATACAACCAAAACACTAATGTGTTGTCATCAGCAAATTTAAATATCATGACAGACTGGGAGTGGGGAAAACAGTTGTTCAGTGTCGGGGGTGGGGAAAGTACTCTGTGTACTGTGGAGCCCCTCCTGGGCTGATGATAAAGGATTTGGAGAATCCTTCACATCAGCAATTTAACTTTTGTTAAGTTTGACCACCTGCGACCTCTCCAATAAGAAGTCGAGGGCTAATTTACACAAGAACTGTTAAACTCCCATATGAAAGTTTGTCACACAGCCTGGATGGGAGAATAGTATTAAAAGCTGAATTGTAAACGACAAACAAAGCCCTTGCATAGGTGTTCGAGGCCTCTGCTGTGCAAGGGACCATTCAAAAAGATCACGATAACTAGGGGCAAGATCATTAGCACAAGATTTCAGGATAGCAGATGATACTAGATCTGGGCCTTCAGCCTGAAGTCTGTTTTGCCCGTGGAGCAAGTTTCTTACCTCAAACTGAAACTTCCAGTGACTGTAATCTAAGATGTAATGTCGGAGTAGCACCACAAGGGGGCAGCAGATACCTAGAATAAAACATCGCTATGAGACTGATTTTAATTGAGACACTTTATTTCCCTTGTCTCTGCTCTAAGCACTGATCTCTGTTAAAACAGCAGGATGTCTTTGTTCATGTAAGTGGCACTGTCTTCTGTCATAATTTAGGGCGATTATGACCCATGCATCAGTGCCAGAAAACGAGAGGGATGTCCTGGGGATCAATGACACACTCATCAGACTCTCTGTGGGTCTGGAGGATGAGGAAGACATCATCGAAGACCTGAGACAAGCTCTGGCTGCTGCTGTAAGTAACATCTACTACAAACCACTGTGGTTTCTGTTAATATTCAAAAGATTAAATTATGACGCCAAGTTTATGGGAGTCTGGAATCATTTTCAGCTCTCTCAATAAGTGATAGGAATCTACCTCATACTAATTAGTTTTTCAGAAATTCAAAGTGAGAGCACTGATTTGATCTATACAGAAGAACTACAGGACAAACACCATGATTCAGGTGTTGCAATATACCTGCTTTAAAGAGGGCATATCATGAAAAACTCACCTTTTTAGCCTTTTGCACATACATTTAGGTATCTGGAGTGCCTACCAACACACAAACTGTGAAATAGAACCTAGATCAGCAAACATTCAACAAGCCATGCAGATTTGGCTTCCCTTCCTATGTCACTTTTAGGCTCATTAGAAGTTTTTTTTTTTTTTTTTTTTTTTTTTTAATTTTTTTTTTTTTTGTGGTGTGAATGCTGTGAAGGAGATCCAGATGCCACACATGTGGCTTGCTAAAGCACCCATGTGTCACATGTGGCTCACTAATTATTATTCAGAGGATTAATGCGCCTGTGTGCTTTACAAGTTCAATGTTTTTTATCTATCTATCTATCTTAATCTTAATCTTACAACATCTGCATACAGCACGGCTTTCAAAAGACAAATCCGGCCTAGAGAAGAAGTAGCAATTATCTTGGGAATATTTAGAGAGAGCCAGGCCAGGAAGAGTTGCAGACCAGGATTGAGTTAAGTAGTGGTTGCACTCTGTGAACTTTGTAGAGGGCTGATGAGAACCCCCTTTGCTGCGTGACCAGATCCCTCATGCACTGTGAGGTCTCCGTGTCTTTACAGCAGTCTGGGGTAAGTCACTTTAAGTGTGGTCCTCTGGGCATTTTCCCCCCATTTCCACTTGCTCAGCAAATCCCTGACAACTTATATTGTTTGTATGCCATCTCACAATGTCACTCTTTGTGTTACCCACTTAACATTTGGAAACATGTTCATAGAGTCCCAAAAACAGACTCATGATATCTTAAAACTACTTGAAGTTGATATAATAGCTGCATGGCTCATCAGAAATGCTCCCGTGTTCCACGAATCCATTTTTAAAGTTCAGTTTTTCTCACTTTTGTGTACTGCTGGCCCTCAGATCTGGCCTGCTCCAGTCCAGACATCTGCATTTGTATTACCTCTCTCTCCACTCCAAAGGCTGGTGAGGGTTTATTGCACAGTTTGTCATTTTTTCTCTTGACAAAGTGGCTGTGGTTTCATAAAACACAGTATTTTTATTGAATCATCATAATTCATAGATGCATTAAGAGGAGAAAATCTCTGAATCCCTCTGCTGCCCATCTGCAGCAAATGGAAATTAAATGGAGACAAATATCTATAATGACTGTGTGGTCCGGGGAAAAGGCACCTCTGATGGGTGATGCGTTTAATTGGATGGGATGGCAGGTCAGATTGGGGCAGGCGGTTCAATTTCCGGACAAGCGTTCTCATCCTCGGGTTAGTTTTGGAATCACAAAGTTGGCTGTTGGTTAATCATTTCACACTCTCCAATGGGTCTGTGACATTTGTACGTAGCTGTAAAATGCTGGGTCTGTGGTGTTTTATTGATCAGTTTTCTCTGTAGTGGGCCGCTCTGTTAACCGGCCTTTGACTTGCCTTTAGTGCAGATATTTTGGCATCTTGCCTCAGCTAATGAAGCGAAGAGAGGAAGAATGACTGGTTTTTTTTTTTTTTTTGTTTTTTTTTTGAACTATGTGATTGTGTGTCATTTCAGAACAATCTTGGCATGTTATCAACTGTATTCTCAGGTCGTCTGCTGCTTGCTGGATGTTTACTGAGTATTTATTTCACTGGTTATTTTTTCTCTTTTCCTGTTGTCTTTTAATAGCACCCAAAGATGAAGTGAAATGTCAACAGGCCAAGCTCGAGGCCGAGGTTGAATCCATCCAAGTCCGTAAGAAGACTGGAGCTAGCTGAAGTCTCAAATCATCGCACATCAACACTTGGAACCTAAGTTCAGCGCACAAGATTCAACCATCAGGGAACAACTTGTTCTTTGCGAAATACAAATCATGCTCTCTGTGGATAATTCACACAATTTTTTTTAAATACTTGTTTTGATGGCTATTTTACTAGTACATCAGTTGTTATTTTATGCTGGCTTTGCTATGTATAATGTTTGGAGGGTGTTAATGGGGCCTATTACTATTCAATAAAGACTTATGCTGTATAAGTTACTGCAGGAAAAACACCAAACTCCATTATTGTGTATAATCTTGCTTTAAAATGTGTGTACTTCAGGTTGAATCCTTATGTCTGCAAATGTCACTCCCCTGAGTGCAGCTGTAATCTGTATTAATAATTTCTTAACTCTGGCTGGTATATTTCCTTTGTAAACAAATGTAGACTTGTATTGATTACCTCATTAGTCAGGCTAAACTGTCTCATACAGGCGTAGCTAATGCTGCCACCTACTGGCAAAGGTCAGAAATATTTTCTCTTTACTGTGAACTTCTGCTCAGAGAGTTTAAGAGGCTTTTCAGAACCATTTAAATAATTCGATTAAGAACAAATGATATCTCCATTCAAACATGATGAATAGAAATCTTGTGTATTTGTTCACAGAATATTGAGTGATATGATTCATTAGGTATATGCCTTGTCCTGAAGAGGAGAGGAATCCTAGTCCTCGCCTTTGAGATGAATCAGGACATTTGCCAATAAATTATTTAGTAAGCATGTGCCATGTTTGGAGGACAATTTCCCAGCAATGATGATGTAGAAGGTTTTTTTATAGTAACAACTGTAGGCTGTTACAGGAATATTTCTCCTAAATGTTTCTAATGAATAATGTTTGATGAAACACTTGATGTGTGTTCTTGAACTCATGTCAAAGCATTTGGGTCGACGACAAAAGCTAAATTTGCCCCAGGTCAGGAATCATGTTTTTAAAAACGAAACTGTGCAGAGAAAATGTTTCACTGAGGCACTCCACCTTCAGCTCTCCCCCTGTAGTCACATAACTACCCAAGAATACATTTCATTTGGGGCCACTTGCGATCAATGTCATTTATGTAACTGAGAAATCCATTAAAGTCAGTTTGCAGTCAGGTGTCTGTGTCTCTCACTTCCTCTCAACCATCCCTCTTTAAAAACAGACGAGCAGTGTAATCAGTAACCGTAGCAAGTCGATAAGCCACATCGCATTTAGCCTGGCTAGTGGAAGGCAGCACGCTGGGGTTTTAGCTGATGGGTCAAATGAGCTAGTTGTCGTCCTAACGACGAAACCATCAATAACATTTCCATGAAGAGACTGACGGGTTTGGTTCTCTGTAAATTGGTTATCTTTAAAGGTTTTGGTTCACTGAAAATTGAATTTCTTGTTGCCTATGACCATGTAATGGATTTTACACATCTGGGAATCTTCTAAATCAGCCATTAACATTTTGTGTAAGCCATGCTCTCTGCCTACAGCTGATGTAAATTTAGCAATCACATACACGGCCTCAGAAGACTTCACTAAACCTGGCACGTCCATTCAAACTGTGGATTTGTGGGGAAGAGGTGGTCTAAATGGAAACGGAGAGGCTCTGCATTTAAAGAAAGAGGTGCTATTGATGTGTTTGAAATTATGCTCCCATCTTGTCCAGGGTGACTCATGTGTGTGTGGTTAGACTTTTCTAGAAAACATCATTCAGTGCAGGTTTTCAGTGTTTGTCAGTTCCCTTCATTCAGCCAGGGCCTATTTTGGAGAATATATCTTCAGCAGTTGAGCCTCAAACAAGTAAAAGTCTCTGATGATACAACCAAGTGGAGGCATGAGAGGTTATGATGTGGCTGTATGAGCTTTCGTTTGTTAAATTAACAAATATGGATATGAAAATACATTCACTGCTAAGTAATGTGTACTATCACCAGTTTAAATAACAAAAAGTGCAGCAAAAATCTTCAATATAAACATAAAGTAGCCGTTTTGAGTTTGAATGCGTGACTTCAATCTGTTTGCAGATGCGTCACGGATGAAAAAAAAGAAACCACCCACTTGCATTAGGCCGTCTGCACTCCATCGGAAGTCATAGATGACATTCATGTAAGCAAAGCTTTAGATAAGAGGTGAAGAGCTTGGAGGGCGACGTGCTGTGTGTCAGTGACTGTGGCGGCAAAAATGGCAGTAGGAGTTTGAAATATTGACTTTGATTCCCAGAAATCCTGTGAAGTGACATCAACTGCAAACAGCACAGTCGTGTTTGTCAGTCTGGACAGTCTTTGAGAACTACAGTATATTATTAAAACATACCAAAGAGATGAGAGAGGCGAAAGACGCAAGAGTGGTGAGTACAGCAGTCTCTGGAAAAAAGTCCTTACTTACTCCTATTCACAGTTTTACATTTTCCTTTCAAAATTGTTTTTTTTTACCATGAACAGGTGATGACTATACCTGACACTATAATTTACCCCGGACAATTAAATTAACTACATATTGTAGTTTTTCGTGCAGTTATGTGCCGGAATATTTCTTGGCCAGCAGCAGTCACTGCCAATACAACATGTTGTTTTTACACTTCAATTGTTTGTACAGATAACAAAACAAAACAATGCATAGCGTCTTAACAAATGGGAACGGTTTGCTCTGGTCTGTTATAGCCTCACTGTAATTTTTAGGGGGTGCCCCACACATTGATGATTCGAATCAGTTAAGAAGCCCTCAAGACAACCTTCAGTTTGTCAATTTAATCACTGCACTTTCTTTTTAGCTCTGTCAGCAATGCAGGATTACAGCATAGGAGACTGTAAACTAGATTCTCTTCTCGAAAATGACCTATCCTACAGAACTAAAATATATGTTGAAAGGGGCATATAGTCCTTCAATTTTAGAGTAGTTAATGTATAAGCTGTTAAAATTAAAGTATACAGGAGTATATTGAATGAGGCAACCAAATGAACCAAACATAAATGACTCCAGTAGCTGACCTTTAGAGTATTACACTTTGTGTACAGTGTCATGGTGTATAGCTTGGTTGTAATGGATGTCAACATTGATGTCATTCATTTCTGCCACGCCTTGTTTGTTATGAATGGTCCTGCAGCCCTGAATGTCAGCCCTGCCAGCTCTCACACTGAGATAAACACAGAGTTTAATCTCACACGTGACGTGTATTTTAGGAAAAAAATAATTTAGTTTGACCAAAGTGAAAATAGACAAGAAAGGGCCATAGTTTTCACAGAATAGTTTTACCAGAGGGTGACTACAGGCTGGGTTTTCAGACCAGAGGAAGTTTTTTCATAGTTCTAAGAACTAGGAACGATCGTATTTCTTAAAATGCCATTTTGAGTGACATTTTTAGCTTCTATTTAGCCTGTTTGCTGTGTAAGCAACAGACAACACGAAATACAAACAGCAGTGCATAGTGAAAAAAATGGACGACAACACAAATGGACCGACAGCGAAGTCCAGGAGTTAACTCGGTCATGTGCACACACCCACTGAGCCTAAGATTGAGTGGGGGGCCGCTGCTCAGTGAGCTAACCCAGTAACGTTAGCACAAACGCTAACTCAATAGCACTAGGCTAACTCAATATATATATATATATATATATATATTTATATATATATATATATATATATATATTTATTTATTTATTTATATATATATTTATTTATTTATTCTTAAATTACTAAAACAAAGCTACAAGAACTTGTAGCAAACAGAAAGGCCAAGTAGTCCACAGAACGCTTTATGAGTATATCTATGTTTATGTCTGAATCAATAAAGACGCCTTACTGAAATCCTAACAGTATAAGGTGAACAGAAAATTACTTATTCAGTTCTCATTATTCTCTCAATCACTCTTATTTCAAAAGTGAAAGAAAATAATTAGTCCTGTATTGATTTTGAATTGTCAATTTTGCTGCTGTTCTGGGAAAAACAGAAACAGCAGCGAGTGTTGATCTTGTAAGTGAACAGAAACAGAGGTCAGCAATCTGAAAAAAGACATTTTGGGAATTTTGGATGTTCTTCTGTAATACTGTACGACTCAGTCAGTAGATGTCTGCTGAAATACTGCTGCCATTAAAAATAATGATGTTACGACAGGAAAAGGAAAAAACCATTACGCACCAGCAGAACAGAAGATATAATCAAATGTACTCAACAAAGATGCTGAAATAAATGCTTATTAATAACGCCAACTCAAAAATACACACTGACTCTACAAATGCCCCCATTAGCTCTCACCAGCATTTCATCAAGAAAAAAAAAATCAGTTCAACTGCCAACTGAAAAAATGGACAGATTTACTATTGTTAGAAGAGGTGTGCTCATGTGACAACCTTTAACTCTCTGCGTCCTTGTTACAGTACGTATTGATCCCCGTGGCTTTGAAATGTAAAAGGTCACGAGTGATGCTGGCAGGAGGCAGATCTACAAGGACAATTAAATTGTGCTTACATACGCACTATTTGGTAGACACTTCTATCAATATTGAGTACAGAATTCATAAATGTTTGGCATGAGCTGCCACAGTGAAATTTAAAGCCACACGAAAGCAGCAGCAGACAACTCAAGGAAAGTTGCCTTGTTTCATTTTCAAAAAAGATATATATATTTTATATTTAAATGCCACTTCCTTTGTTTTATGTCATGAACTTTGTTCAGAAAAATTCCACTTAACATGTCATAAAAGGGTTGTTTAACTGGATTCACACCATGGACACAATAAACACAGCTCCACTTGAAGGCACCATACGCATTATAACACCAGACAGACTGTGCGGTATGTTGCAAATTCCCTCTTAAAAGACGAACTGTTTTGAAACAGCGCGGGCGTCTGACAGCCACAAAAGAAAATCGAATGGAAGACGAGAGAGATGCATTTCTATTTTTGTGTGCACGGGTGTCCGTGTGTTGTTTCTGACCAGATAAATTCATGCTTGTATGTTTTATGTTATGTACACCGCTGTATGACTTGGAGGCCTTTTTGTGTTTCTCACCATGTCATACAAAAGTCATTACATACGTCATTACATATGTATGTTCCTTACCTGGGGCTAAAATCTGTACTAGCTCAGCATGAAACGCTGCTGTCTGCATAAATGCATGGAAATAGATCAAGCAGAAAATTTCCTCTTGTTTTTCATTATCACCCCTCCATCTGCTGAGATGTATTGGACCTGTGCGTTTCTCTAAGATGTCATTAATATGCTGTGTGTTTGCGCTGCCTCCTCGGCAAGAACAAAATCCAACAGGAGT